ACAAATTGGTCAAATTGGAAAATAGCCGCCTTGATGCCCTACTTGATGAAGTAGCAGAGAAATACACCATCCAGGCCGATGTATCAGGGGTATTCAAAGAGAGAGTCAACCAATCAAAGAATAGGCCATCCTAAACTATTAATACTGGTATTTGATACACGTTTGATACCAAATCATTTTAATTCAGTTTGCTAACAAGTGCATGGTAGAGCGTAGTAGCACAACTGTCACCCAGGAATCTCACCTCGAAACGAGTGCGATCCAGGACACGGCTGTGATTGGAGAAAAGGAGAACAGAATTTACACACTAACTAACGGTGATATGTTGTTTAGCACAGACTTGCTTAACCAGGATAGAAACAAGGAGAAGGATACCAAGAAGAGGCAGTGTAAGAAGCGTATTCTGGTTGATGATAATGGCCCTAAACAGGTTGAGTATGGCTTCATTGATTTGGTGATGATACTGTTGATAAGTGTGATGATGTTTGTGGTACAGGTGATTTGTTTATTGGCAATCAAGTTATTGGAGAAAAAGGAGGTTGATCAAAGTGTAATATCAGAGAAAAATGATCATCCCAGTGAGATAGATACGGACAAGTCTACTGAAAATGGACAGAAAAACAGTTACAAAATTGATCAAAATATTAATAATATTACAGGAGAATATTGCATTAATAAAGGAGTTGGGAGTATAAAAAAGAATGATTCAAATGGGGCCATGTCTGAGAAGAAGTTGTTATTCAAGGATGAAAGAGACGACAACATGATAGGAGGAGATGAGAATAGGATAGCTGAGGCGAATGAGGCAAAGAGGGTGAACAATGCCGATGAACCAGTTGAGATGAACCAGGGGATGATTGGTGGAGACCAGAACAAAATAGAGGAGGCAAATGAGACAAGGGAGAAAGAGAGAGGAGGAAAGACTGGGATGATTGGCGGAGACCAGGGTAAAATAGAGGAGGCAAATGAGACCAAGAAGGTGAACGATGCTGAGAAGGTTGCTGAGCCAGAGCAGGGTAAAATAGGCGGAGATGAAACCAAAATAGACGAGGCAAACAAGGCAATAAAGAAGAACAAGGGTGAAACGAAGGGGTGCAAGGAGTGCCTGGATGAGCACAAGAATGCGAAGAACAAGGGCAATGTTTATTCTGGGAAGAATGAGCACAGGTACACGGACTCAGAGTACAAGAAGAACAAGGAAGCAATGAGTCAGAAGCCAAAGGAGAAGGCTGAAAGAAGGCCCACTGAGGCCGAGGTGATGGCCATTGGAAACTTCACTCCTGTGAAACTGAGAAGCCCACGAGTTGACACGAAGGTGATGGAATACCGTAACAACGGAATAGTCTTCACAGAGGGGCCAATGTGGAAGAGAAGGGAGCTATGCAGCTGCATG